CACTCAAAGATGACAAATTTCTCGGCTTTTACTATATCAGGAACTTTGTTTTCTCTCTTTTTTCTTACCTCACCTAGATTTTTTACACAATATACGTTTGAGATATGACACATGTGAGTTATGACATGTGCACATGATTGAACATTTACATTGTATGTGTATAATGATGTTCTATGTTGTGTGTGGAATACAAACCACTTGGATGGTTGTTTCTGAAAAATGCAAATTTTTTTTTTGTGCTCTTTAAACAATCCTTATACTTCTTCACCAATAAGCAAAGTAAAACCGGTTTGATAGTCATAAACCCTAAAGTCCGAAACCACAAAACCGGATTCTTAGGGATCGAGAGAGACTCATTATATTATAAGTTGGTTCTAAGATAAGATTAACTAGAGGCATTATGGGGATTAGGATACATTCCTGATTTGATATAAGATTGTTTTTAACTTGTACATTTTAACCTCACTTGTGTCGTGCAGTTTTGATGTCAATTTGATTCGCATTTATATATACGGCTCAGTTGGTCTGGCTCGGTGGTTTGGAGGTCGATTTACCGGCGAATTACAAGTTAGAACCAAAATCGACAGTGTTCAGAAACAAAAACACTTGAAACTTTCAAACGAATAGTTTAACATTACACGTAAAAGTTGAAACTAGTCTACTCTTACTCCTGCCCAAAGCCATCACGGTTCTCTTGTTGCCACCCAAAACCTTGACCGTCTCTACCCCTGTTAACCTGCTGGGGAGTTTGAGGCGGTGCCATTCCGGGATTCCATGTCTGAGGAGGATACGATCCTTGGAAATTCAGATTCATCACTGGTGTAGACGGATACCCGAGCAATGAACCTTGTTCTGACCCGCTACCTTCTGCTCTCGTCATTTCATAAGGTGCACCGCTATAGAATTGTTGAGACGATCCATCGGTTGTTGGATAAGATGGAAAACCAAACTGCTGCGGTAAACCTGGGTTTTGATTCATGGGAATGGGCAAGCTGGGCGGTTGCATAAGATTCATAGGCGGGTAGTCTGGGAACCGGATTCCCGGTTTAGGACTAGCGGTTTCGAATCCTGGAGGACGAGAGTTATCTATGTCCGCAGGGTAATTCTGGACTTGACCAAATCCAGATTGTGGCTTTGAGAATGACCCTGACCTGTGCAGTAACGGTTGTTGTTCACGGGATTGTTGCTGCTGGGATTTTAAGGGACCTCGCAATGTGGATTCTGAAGCTGAAGATTGCTGCTTTGTGCTCTGAACGTCTGACTCATTACCGTCTTCTTTCTCTGCATCGGCTTGTAATAGACTGCCGTGAAGGTCATGGACATGAGCTTCAAAGTCAAGTTTCTTCAGGAAAGACCTGAGACAATGAGGAGCTGCACATATGAAGATTCCTTCCATCATTTTGATCGTCTGAATCTTTTGAATCCGTTCGTCACATCTGTCCA